AGAAAAATGCACTTGATTTATGCACAATCTGGCAAGAGTCACTGGGCACTCTCTGTGTGCGCGCCCTGCAACAAGTGTGCTTGGTAAAGCAGACAGAAGACGAACAGAAGGCCTTAAGGGATGGACGACACAGTCATCGCAACCACGGCTCATGTGGGAGACTTAGGAACAGGGAGAGAGTGCATGCGGACAAATCCTTTATTCTCACATTTAAGACGCCTGGGAGGCCAGGGTTCTGGGTGGAGGGAGGCCTTCACACTTGTGAATTAGAGATGAGTCCCAATCACATTCTCATAATTACGATTAATCCCCACAATACCCTCACCACAACAGTGCTACCTTAAAGTTACCTCTTATAACAGTGGTTCCAAGTATCAAATAGAAAACAAAAAGTAATTGATGATCAAGACTTCCACTCGTGTCCTGGTGGTCCAAGGGTACCAGGTAGAACTGCCCCCAAAGCTTCCTTTGGAAGTACAGCTCTAGCTCTCTTTCTTCCCAGACAGCCCAGGTGAACTTGAACCGGAAACCTTTCCATTATTTGCCACGGGGTTTAACCATTGGCATCATGTGGGGATGTCGACCCAAAGCAAAAGGAGCAACGCAGACAAACTCCCTGCCATGGAGTCGATCCTGACTCAGAGCGACTATAGAGGGTAGAACTGCCTCTCTGGGTTCCCGAGACGAGACTGCAACTCTGTGCAAGTAGGAAGTCGCGTCTCTTTCCCGAATGGCTGATCTTCAGGTTAGCAGAGGAAATCGACTTAGCTGCCCTGGGAGGCTGCGACTTTCACAGAAGAATCTGAAACACCTTTGCCGGCTTTCCCTAGGAGCTGAACTAAGCAACGTCTTGAGGTTGTAGATTTTATAACTCAACTCTGTGACTCCGCTTCGCCCCAGACCAGAACGGAAGCAGGTCACAGAACCCGGGCTGGATGAAGAGAAGGGCACTTTCTCAGGACCTGGAAACAGCTCAGTGCAGCTCTGGGAGGTGGGGACCTTTCTGCGGAAGAACGAGTGCACCACAGACTTGACCCTGGTAGCCAGCTGACTGTGCCCCTTCCGGGATGAAGGCCCTGCCTCTCTAAGGCCACTGGACACCGGTCCTCGGACCCGCCTGTCCCTGGGGCCAAAAAGGAAGGTGTCACCCCCAGGGACGGTGGGGGGAGGGGGGTGTCCCAGGAGCCTAAGGCTCCAGCCGCAGCCTCTGGGAACACCGCGAAGGGAAGCTGCTCAGGATTCATGAATGAAGGGACATTGCCGAAGACCGCGGTGGGGT